CACCTTTGGGAAAGCTGCCAACGAAAAAGGTTGGAAATCGGTTAGGCTGCACGATCAGGAGAAACTGATCAACTTTCTGCTCGATCATGTTTTCTTTAAATCTGTAGGAGCCATACTAAGGCAAGATAAAAAAATACCAATGGGAGGACAGACAAGTCCCCCATTAGCATCCCTGGTCTGCATGTATGCAAAAGAAAGATTTTTGAACGGAATAGGTAAGGATGAAAAATGCCTGTTTGGAAAAAGGTACGTTGATGACCTGCTATTACTGGGTTTTTACGAAAAAGGAAATCTACAGGATAAACAGAGAACTGAACGAGTGATGGATGGTATCACATCCTGCTACCATCCTGAACTAAGGCTGGAAAGAACAAACATTGGAGAAAACGTTGTAGACTTCCTGAAGATGCGGATGTTTGTACTGGAGAACCCCACCCAGGTAGTAACTATGCATAAATTCAAGAATGCGGAAAGTGTGTGGGAAAGACCGGATAAACCGAAATTCATGATAACAAGGCGATATGAATCATTCGGTCCCAAAGAACAAAAGGTCGCAACATTAATTAGCACAATACATCGGATTCTGGGCAACACAAACATGAACGCACTCCTTCCAGTCTGTTTTTTAACGTTCAACAGGGAATTGAGAGGTGCAAGTTTTCCGAGCAAGAATATTCTGTCAGCAATGGAGAAATTCGCCGGGAGGGTGGGTGAGGAATGTCTAACGACGCTCGTCAACAAGTTACGGAAATGTTACAATAACTGGACCAGATCTGAGGATGGAGGCAGAGGCAGCTGAACCAGACCAGTTTCCAAGACAAAGAGTGTTGGGTTTGCTGACGGACACTCACGCGCCTAAGACTCACGTATCTACATGACTTGTGACCAACTCGGGCTCTGACAGATTCCCCGGATTGCTGGTTATCTCGGTTATTTTTTATGCCCATCAGGATCGGTATTCAGCCGCTTCGAACTGGGTCTGTTTTGTTGTATTCAAATTTATTTTTTGTATTTGTTATTTCAAGGCGGAGACTGCTGTTTCGCGGGACCACCCATTCAGGTGTTACCACGTTACCAGGATCTAGATACCTTTTGGCGGCCGCAAAGGAGTTGAACTGGGCTTCGTACCCAGGTGAATCCTCTGGAAACGTTTTCACATTGGAGTAACTAAGCCTGCTGACATGCAGGTCCAAACAGGGTACTTACAAATTTGGGCGGGACGATCCTCGTTATGCTCGGGCGTCACCGTAGAACAATTTTTGAAGATGTGGTATTTATTGAGTTGGAGCTAGGCTCCGAAGGCAGACTGAGTAGCATAGAGGAGAAGGTCTGTGGCACGGGTTACTTCGCGCTCTCATGCGATGTGGTTATGCTGCGATAATAAACCTCTGACTACATTATATTTTCATCTCTCTGGGTCCGATAGAGGTGTAAAATCGCGCGTACCCCCTATGCTACAGTGTACGAGAAACGCCCTCGGCTGGTCCACCTCTGCGATTACAGCCGATTAACTTTCGTATTGTGGATTGCTAGCTCGGCGGGGATACGCCCACCGAAGGGAGGTGACAACTCCCGTAAGGTGGAGGTAAGTCGTGCCTCGAGTAGACCCTATCCTGTCATAGGGGCTCGCGAGAGGTATGGCTGGCGCACTCGTCCGGAGTGGCTTGCGGAAGCTCCATTATGTATTTGCGACGAGGATAAGACCAACTCTTAAGTGATGCGGCCAGAAGGGTCCACCCTGTTTCGTACGGTGCCGGACGAATACGCGCGACAGTTGGCACCGTTGCCAGGGATAACGGTTGCATACCGTTGTCCTTGGTGGAACGACATCCGGGCATGAGGAAGTGAGAACTTGACAAAATGTAAAGTTTTCTTTGAAATTTTATGGTTAATCGATTGATGGTATTGGATGGAGAGCAAGTGAGTGTTGATTGTGTGAGTTGGTTTTGGCTAGTGCAGTAGGGATAGCACAAGAGGGATGAGCGTTTTAACTATGCGCTAATGTACGCTGACTAGTAGGATGAAAGTTGGAGTTGGTACCCCGTCGGACCACGATAGTTGACGGGTTTGAACGTTGCTTTGCATGGTTGGTATGGTTAGGGTAAGATAAGGTGACGTCGGGCTCAAAACTGAGGGAGCTGACTCTATAAGATACCTACTATGACCGAAAGGGTTATCTGAGTGGTCATGAGAGCAACTTGGTGCTTTTGCATTAGAGTGAGACCTATGATGAGTAAAGGGAGCCTATTACGTTAGAAGTCGTCAAAAGGACTTTGAAGAGAGTTAGACTAAGAATGTTGAAAGCCTTTATCAACATGGATTGGGATCCTTGAGTCTGGGTTCTAAGGGGTTGTTCGACTTATATAGTCATGAAAGTGTGCGGTCTGCCCCACGTGATATGTTGAGAATTAGGCATATAAGGTAGAAGGTAAATGCAGTAAACACTGTGTCATGACCTCAATGGAAAGGACTACAGGAAATAGTAGATTTGCATGACGCCTTTTTGATGAAAGGGGGTATTTGATCCTAGAGGCAGTTGGGATAACAGTGAAATAATTAGCGCTTAGACTAATTTGCTCACCCTTAATGGGGCGATGACTTGTAGCTGATGTTAGACCTTCACTTGGACCTTTCCAGGCTTGGACCATCCACTTGAATCTATGAGTTGGAGCTAAGGACTTGAGACTATTTTCTTGTGAGGGCATTTCTTTTTGGATTATATGTTGAATTCATCTATATATGTGAGGATTGAGCCCTCAAGTAGGGGCCTTGCCATGATGTACATGTTCTGGGCTAAGGCCCCAACAAGCCCAGTGCCCGCCCTAAGTGAAGGCGGGCCAGCAAATCAACAAGAGCCCTCTATGCCAACATTTCACGAAGTGGGGTCTATACAGTTGCAGCACGCTAGTTGGTTGGAGTGCACCGAGTCTCGAATTTCAGCAAATGCTGAAATGCCCAGGGCCTCTGAGTTAGTTAGGCCCTGGGCACTCGAACGTGAGGCCGACAATGCATGCTGGGTAGAGAGGCCGAAAATGCCAAAGGGAAATCGGCCCACTATCTGAATCTGGCCGCAGACCTTGATGAGAGAGGCGCAACTGTATCGGGTAGGCTTCAGCCTCTGGGCCCCGGTCACAGGCTGAAGGGAGGCCGCCCACACGCTGCACTGGCATATAGGCAAGCAGGGCAAGTGAGCAGGGATCTTGGCCAATGTTGGCACTTGCGGGCACGCTGCGCGGATGCATGTGTGTTGCGCTGTGCAAGGCGGTGCTGCGCTAAGAGCAAGCAGGCCAGCGCTAGGCGGTAGGGCGCTGATTGCACGAAGGGCACTGGCGGCCATAACCGGGCCGCATGAGGGTGCAGGGCAGGTGAGGGCGAAGGTGGTACTTCGGAGGTGAAGGGCGCTGTGTGGGTAACAAGGGAGAGTGTGGGGAAGAGGACACGTACTTGGAGGAGGTGGAGGTCGGCATTGGTGTTGACATCATCACTTGCTGGTAGTCAAGTTGTCTGGTTGCTTTTCATTGCTGTAGTTGTAGGCTAGTTGTAGAATAGATAGGGCGCCTGGCGCCATTCACAAGAGAGAGCTACATTTGGGTTATGATGTTGGTGTTGCCCTGTAGGGCATGGACATTGACTCACGATTCTTCTGTATCATTCTCAATGGATGGTTACTCGGTTCCATGTGCTATCTGCTTTGGCTTTGACTACTTGGACTTCAGTGTGATTTTGCATTCTGGATTTCTGTGCTTCGTCCATATTCATGTTCCTTGCAATTTGGTATCGGAGCTGGTTTGATCGCCACTTACCTTTGGCACGCTGGCGTTATACAGACTTGGTGCGTTGATGATGCTTCTTCGCAGTGGGTACTTGTGACGTCAGGCCACTATAGGTGCACGCCCTGGGTAGAGAGGGGTGCACCGGAAGGCTATTACGGCAGTGTATGCCGTGGGTTACAGCGGAATGTTCGATTGGTGATGAGAGCATGCTGATGTGGCATTGGACTAAGGTGGCACTGCATTGCGTTGTGGGTGGTACCGAGGTCATGACCGGTCATCAAATGCAACATCAGCTCAATTGGTGAGAAATCTGTGGTTGGGGGCAGCTATCTCCAGGTATGTTGATCCCTTACCTTATCTACCTTCTCAATCTCTTCTTACCGTGAGGAAGTGAGTCCAACTTGAGAGTCCTCTCTTTTGGTGAGGTGTCGTGAGCGCGCTACCTTGAGAGACGACAATCTTCCCAGAAGCATCTGGAAGGAGAAAGGGCGGTGCCTCTGAAGGGCCCTGGTYGAAGCACTTGGGTCACGGTCACCATGCCAACCCACAGGGAGTAGTGCACGCATGCGATGGTTGCTGTCCTGTTTGGCACTTGATGCGCTGATAGAAGTTCCTTCGGGTGTGCCAGCCCATGACAGACGCTTACTAGACCGTCTATAAATATTTCTGGTTGGGAGTTCATTGTGAATCTGGCTGTGATCGTCGTCCTGACTGCGACGTTAAATAATTCCTGAAGAGATGGGGGCGCTCTATAAATTCCTCCTGATCAGCCAGATCACATGGACAGGAAGG